CACATCCTCCCACATCTGCCCGGAGTCTACCTAATCCTTCCAAATCCTCCCGAACCCGCCCACTTCTTCCAAATCCGCCCAAATCCTTTCAAATCTTCCCGAACACAACCGAATCCTCCCAAATCCACCCAGATCCTCCCAAACCCGCTCAAATCCTCCCAAACCCACCCAAACCCACCCAAACCCACCCCAATCCTTCCAAATTCACCCGAATCCCCCCCAATCCACCCGAATCCTTCCAAATCTTCCCAAACACACCTAAATCTTTTCAAATCCATTCAAAATGTTCCCAGATCCAACCAAATCCTCCCCAATCCTCCCAAGCCCACGAAATGCGCGCGCGGACGCGACCGGACACGGGAGCGGTACTTCCAATGGGCCGGCCGTCTGGGAGGGGGAAATGATGGGTTTTTTTTGTTTTTTCTGGTTCCGATTTTTTTCTGTTTCCGACCCGTCCTCCGCGAAATGCGCGCGTGGACGTGCGACGGGACACGGGAGCGGTACTTGCAATGGGCCGTCTGGGGGAGGGAAATTATGGGCTTTTTCTGAATTTGCCGGTTTCGATGTTTTTCATGTTTCCGCCCCGTCCTCCGCGAGATGCGCGCGCGGACGCGCGACGGGACACGGGAGCGGTACTTGCAATGGGCCATCTGGGAGGGGAATTCTGTGTTTTTTTGTTCTGTTTCATCTGGTGTCGACTTTTTTCTGTTTCCGACCCGTCCTCCGCGAAATGCGCGCGCGGACGCCCGGCGGGAAGTTGTTCAAAGCGAATCGTTGTCGACGTCGGCGTTTGCTACGCCCCGGGCGTCTGTGTTTGGAAGGGCGTCACTATCGCGAATTTTCAAAAACGGGCTCGCGTTCAAAGAGAATGGTCGTCGCCATCGGCGTTTGCTGCGTCCGGGCGTCTGTGCCCTGAAGGACGTCACTATCGCGAGTTTCCAATCTTGTTCAACGCGATTCGTCGTCGCCATCTGCGTCTTTGCTACGCCCAGGCGCCTGTGTCCTGAAGGGCGCTTAAATTCTTAGCGACCGTCCAGCGCAAAACCAGGCGGTGCGGAAAACAACGCGCTTTCAATTTGATGCGAACGTCTTATTGATTCGCTCGGATCTCACCGCGAGAACGCGACTGCGAGACCCCCGTCGTTTTGATACCAAAACGACGGGGGTCTCAAGCTTTTTTTGAGTGTCCTATGGCGACGTGAAAAAATATCGCGCGTGCGACTTGCGAATTCATTCTTTTCCATAGAACGTCGTCGATAATCTCGCGCCGACGTGCTGCGCGTAAAAAACTAAGGCTCCCAAACTACACCCAAGCATGCAAGAGTCTCCTTTGGAGCGACCGGCGCGCGTCGCAGACATTCCAGTGCACTGTGTCCGGCGCTCAGTGTCGGCCGCGCGTCTTTCCAATTGTTCAGTGCCGCGGACGATCCGCGCGCGTCGCTGAGACTCCTTCGGGGCGACCAGCGCGCGTCGCGGGGACTCCTGCGCGCCCCGCTCAGAGCCCCCGATGCATCCGGTCGTCGTCGACGGGCCCAGCGCGCTCAAATGTCGCCCGCTGTAGTCTATTTCAGACGTTGGACATCTGGGTTTGCCTCGCGGAATCCTGGCGACTGCGATTCCATATCCGTAGACCTGATGGCCCGAGCAGCAGGCGCCGCCGCGCTCCGTGGCACGCGCCCGACGCGCCCATTGACAGACGACCTCCGCTCGTGGACGGGACCCCTCTCGCGGGGCGATCGCCCCGAGTCGGAGACACTCCAGCTCGCGCGGGTGGCCCCCTGCCCCGCGCCGGGTCAATCCCCCCCGGATGCCTCCCAAGGGCAGCGGGACGAGATGTCGGATCAATGTGGACAAGAATGAGCGAGGCGGAACAGTGACCTTTACAGTGAGATTGCGGACTGCGGGCGAGCCCTCCATCAGAGGCCCGCCGCGCGAGAATTTCGCCGCGGCCACGGCGGACAAGGTCTGCCTCCTGCGGATGCCGGAGACGGAGCGGCGCGCTGAGCTGCGCCGTCTGCGAGCACAGCACGCGCAGTGCCCAGGCGATGGCCCCCAGACGCCGCGGCGCCAGCAGGATTGCCCGCCTCGGCGCCGGGTGAGAGGGAAACGAGGGCCGTCGCCGCGCGGTTCCCCGGCGCCGAGAGGCACCCCGGCATCGGGCCCGAAGCAGGGAGGTCCGCAGACACCGGGCGCCTCGGCCGCGGGCAGGCGCCCCCGGCAGACTCCCGGGACTGCTCGCCGCCGGGGCCCGACTCCTCGGACAGCGGGAGGTCGACGGGACGTCGCGGCCGCGACGTTCCGCGACGTTCTGGCCTGGCACAGTGAGCGCGGCCGCTGGCCACGGCGCCAGCGCCCCGGAAGGGGGCCCGAGGATGACTTGGCGAGGAGGTGGCAGAGGTGGAGGGGGACCAGCAGGCTGCAGCCAGCGGCCCAGGTCCTAAAGGAGCGCATCGACGCGCTGGTGCAGGCCGGTCGGGAATCGAGGCTGGAGGATGAGCGCGCCGAGGGCGCGGAGCAGGCACTGCGGATGCTGCACCAGCACTGGCGCGAGGGGAACGACGTCCACGACGAGGACCGTTGGAGGCATCCCGCCCTGCATCGGTCGCGCGGCGGCCAGCGCCCATACCCCGGCCTCTCGAACCTGTGCAACACCTGCTACCTCAACGCGCCCTTGCAGTGCCTCCCCCACTGCCCCGCCGCGCGCGCCGCGCTCCTGGGGGCGGAGGGCCAGGGCGAGCCGCTGATTCTGCAGGACGCGGGGTGGGGGAAATCTCGTCGATGTCTTCACTCCGGCACAGCCCCCGGTTGATTTTTGGGGTTCCTCCCTCCGCAGGGGAGGGGAGACGATTGGCGCGTCGACAGGGCGGGGTATGGGAGGCAGTCGGCCTGGGTTTCTCACCCCCTCTCGAGGAGCTGCGCGCCCTGGCGACCGCCTGCGTGCGCGGGGCGCCGCCGAGCCTGGCGGAGGGCGACGGCGGCGCCGCGCCAGCGCCGGCCCGCGTGGACCGCTGGTCCCCGCACGCCTTCGTGGACGCGTTCCTCGCGAAGCACTGGGTGGACTTCAAGCTGGGGAGGTACGCGGACGCGAGTGAGGCGCTGTCGTTCATCCTGGAAGACGCGCCTGGTCTCGCCAGCCTCTTCCAGACCGGATGCGACGAGGAGGCCATGATGAGGCTCCCGGCATTCGTGGACGGGGCAGACGACGGCGACGACGCCCTGTCGCCGCAGGACTTCTTCCTCGACGGGGGCGCGCAGCGACTGGACGTGCGAGAGCTGCTCCGCCGCGGCGCCTCCATGGGCGGGCGACTGCGATCGAAGCCCGAGTTGCTGGCGGTCCACGTGCCCCAGAGGTGGGAGCGGGGCGACGGCGCGGCGCTCTTCCTCGGCGGCTGCGACATCGCGCCCTACTGGGGTGACCTCCCGGAGGTGGCTCTGAGGGCGGGGGAGGAAGACGTCGCGAGTCGCGTACCGCCTGCGCGCCTACGTGCAGTACATCCTGCCCGAGGGATCGGAAGCCGTCCCATCCCACTTCCTGAATGACCCCCAGGGCCACTTCGTGGCTCACTTCGAGGAGGACGGGAGCTGGTACACTGCAGTCGACCTGGGCGATCGGCCGCACGTGGTCCAGTGGGCGCCTGGCACCGAGCACAAGATACCTTGCATGATCTTCCTTGAGAAGGTGGACTCCAGGGCGGCCCGCGCCGAGGCGTGCCCGTGGCCGCCCGGGCCGGTCGTCGACGGCGCGGAGGGCGCGGGCGGCGACGGCGACGGCGACGCGGACGGCGAGGACAGCCCCGGCCTCGACGGGGAGTGCGACGAGGAGGAGGAGGACGGGGCCGGCGACGCTGGCGTGCCGGGCGCGCGGAAGCGGCCCGCGGCGTCCACGAGGAGCGGCGCCCCTGCCACGAAGCGGCTCCGCCTCCGAGGGAAACAGAGCGCTGCTGGACGGCAGCAGAGCCGCGCTGGGAGGCAGCAGAGCCGCGCTGGGAGGCAGCAGCAGCAGAGCCGCGCCGGGAGCCAGCAGAGCCGCGCTGGGAGGCGGCAGCAGCAGAGCCGCGCTGGGAGGCAGCAGGCCAGGGAGGATCAGAAGCGCGGTTGCAAGCCGGAGGAGGTACTGCGACAGGGGCGGAAGCCGAAGAGCAAGTGCGACAACGCCGACGGATCCAGACAGGACTCCCAGAACAACGCCGCCGCCCCTGTCCTCCGCAGCAGCAGGGAGGCGAAGAGCTTGCAGACCGCCAGCGAGGAGCGCCGGTTGTGTGGGGATCTCTTCCTGCTCCTGCACTTGCTGGAGCCGCTGGTCGCTGCCGATGACCTGCTGAAGCATTACCCTGACTTCTTCGTCTACGCGGGCGACGACTGCACCCGCCGATGGGCGACGTTCCTGCAGGCACCCGATCGACCCGACAAGTTGGCCGGGAGACTGCGGGAAGCGCTCGGGGTCACGGAGAACGAGATTTCCGACGCCAAGCGCCGGAGAGCGGGGAGTGGCACGTGCACCACGTCGCGGAGCTCCTGGACGAGCGCCTGGGCTCCGCCCACGGCGCCCCCTCCGTGGCGGCCGCGGCCCGCTTGGCGGCGAGCGACGCGTCGGCCGCGCTGGGCGACGGCAACCCGCTGAGGGCGCACCTCGCGGAGGCGTGGCAGCGCAGGCCCTGCAACCGCGGCCCTCCCCGGCACGCCGCCATGCCTGCGCGCCTTCGGGATCGCTCTGACTGGTTCCAGTGCCCCGCGCCTGCGCTGCATTATTATATGCCTGCCGCATGTGCGAGGCCGAGTTCCCCAGCAGGGAGGCGTTCAAGGCGCGCCAGGGCAGAGTCCACGGGGGGCAGCGGTGGTACCAGTCGCAGTATGTGGCGCGGTGCGAGCTGGGGCCCTACCAGCCGTCGCCGACCGAGGAGCGCCAGGCGAGCGGGCGGCGGGGAACTGCGCCCAGCCCTCGGAGACGTGCCCTTAGCGCTGGCGCTCCCGGCGCCAGCGCTAAGGGCATCGAGAGCGCTGGGGGTCGGGCGGTGCTCCCCGCCATCGCTGCAGGTGGTTGCCAGGTTCCACATTTCCCAGTGCTGCGCCACCGTCGACCCCGTGGACGAGCCGTTCGTCCCGAAGCCTGAACCGGAGGTGCAGAAGCAGCTGCTCCACGCGGAGATCATCGGCAGGATCGCCGGCAAGATCGGGCAGGGGGGGCCCGCGGAGGAGATCTCCCTGCAGGCGGCCGGCGCGGCGGAGTCGGCAGCCCGCGCTCAGGCGGCGTGCCAGGCGAGGGGGCCCCGCGCTTTCCAGGCCTGCGTCTGCTGCGCCATGCAGCAGTGGTCCGAGAACCTCCACTCGGAGTACCTGGTCGGCGACAAGTGCACCATAAAGGACCGGGCCCAGTTCGCGGACTGCCTGTCGGCCGAGTGGTATCACCAACGATGGCCCCTCATACCGCGCGACGAGCTGATGTCGTCGGCCGTGAACTTTCCCCACGACGACTGCGAGGGCTCGCCGACGTCCACGAAGATACTCTTGCACAAGAGGCGCGTGCCGCCCGAGGCGCTCGAAGGGAAGGTGCCGGTGAAAGTCTGCGACGATTGCCGGAAAGTCCTGTGGTCTGATCACCCCAAGGTGCCGCTCATGGCGCTGGTGAACGACCTCTGGCTGGGCCGCCACCACCCGCTGCTCAGGAAGGCCGCTCTCGCGCACCAGTTGCTGCTCGCGCTCGGCCGCGTCGTGTCCACGAAGATCTACCTGTCCAGCAAGGGCGCCGACAAGGCCGTCCGGCAGGAGCAGCAGTCGCGGAGGCAGAAGTTCTTGCAGTACGCCATGCAGGGCACCGCCATCGTGTTCGGGAACGGGAACGTGGACCACGCGACGCGGAGCTTCCCGCCGGAGCCCGACATGCTCAGGGACACGTTCGTGGCCGTCTGCGCGGGCGCCGACGACGACGAGGAGGGCGCCCCCCTGACCGAGGAGCAGAAGCAGGAGAGGGCCTTGAGAGCCATGAGGGAGGAGGTGGCGCTGCACGTCGACAAGGCGGAGTACGACGCCCAGGCGCGGTTGTTGAAGCAGCACAACTACGTGTACAATGACCCGGGCGTGCAGTACCGATCGGACCTCGTGGACCGGTTCCCCCCGCAGCCGGGCGTGCCCGACTTCATGCTGGCCTGCGCGAAGTATGTCCCCACGGACGCGGCGCTGGACGACGTCGCGCAGGCGCAGGGTCCCGCGTCGGCCACCACCGGTGCGCAGGCAGAGATGAGCGCGGCCGCCGAGGACGCGCAGGAGCTGACCAAGTGGCTGTCCGTCCTCGAGGACCACATGGACGACGTCAGCGAGCTCACGTCCCTGCCGGCGCTCCAGGGCATGCTCGAGAGGATGGAGAGTCAGGCGGGTCGCGTGGTGGCCAACGAGCTGATGTCCAGACTCGAGGACCAGGGGGGCGATGATAGGGCGCTGCAGCTGGACGAGATCGGGCGTTGCCGCCTGCGGGACCTCTGCCAGGAGTTCCACGCGCGCTGTCGGAAGATCTCCCCGGGGGAGGACATGGCGAAGCTGCACTGGCGCGTCCAGGCGCTGGAGACCAACAACTGTCAGGCGGAGGAGGGCGCGGGCGACTTGGCGCGATCTGCAGGAGTCGCGGGGACTCCCGCCGAGGACGATCCGCGCTCCTTGCAGGGACCGCCCGGCCCAGACGGCCAGCGGAAGGCGAGGCTTCGGGTGCCCACTTCGAGGAAGGCGGAGAGCTGGTGAAATCCGAAGTACTGGTCGATTGCCAGGCCCACGGACTTCTGCTACAGGGACTGCGCCTGGGGCCTCGGCCAGCTCCCCCCGGACGGAGATGAGGACCCGCAGAGGCAGAAGGAGGCTCGGCTCTGCTTCAGCGTGGCGCACTTCATCAAGAATCTTCTCACGCGGGAGGAGATGGAGTACGATGTGCCTTCGGACGAGGAGAAGCACGTGGCCAGGCCCATCAGTCGTTTCCGGAGCTGCTGGTACGACGCGCACCTGCTGTGCTCCTTCTGGAGAGTCACGGAGACGACCAACAGCACCTACACCTTCATGAAGACGCCCGGGGCGTTCGGGGCCGCTCGCGCCTGCGCGGACATCACGCCGGAGATGATCGAGGAGGTGCAGCTCAGGGCGCAGCAGACGGGCGGGAAGGCCACGCTGCACGGCATCCTCAAGGACAAGGACACCCCGAACGAGGTGCGCAAGGCCTTCGCCACCCTGGGCCAGGCCACTGCCGGCCAAGTCGGGTCCGACGGACACAGGCGGGAGCTGCGCGGAGAGGGCGAGGCGCATGCCCTGCGCTTCGGCCCGCCCGTCCAGTTCGTCACCCCGAATCTGGCAGACACCAAGCAGCCCCTGATCCTGATCGTGCAGGGGGAGGAGTACACCTTCGACAACGACCTGACCGAGGCGGAGCAAGTCACGTTCAGCGAGATGTCGCAGCGCATCACCGCGGACCCCGTGGGCCAGGCCGTGGTGTTCGAGCTGATGATGAGGCTGTTCTTCGTCCACGTCCTCGGCCTGCGCCCGGAGACCGTCGGGTGGCGGCGAGGAGAAGTCCGAAAGGCTTCGGAGCACTGGATATCCGACGGCGTGGCGGCCGACCTCATGGGCGCGCCCACGGTGTTCGGCCCCCTCGCGGCGGCCTTCGGCCCGGTCGAGGCTCAGGGCCGCGGCTCGCTGCACCCTCACATCCTCATCTGGCTGCTGCAGGGTCAGCTGCGCGTGCTCTTGGACATGCTGCAGCGCGACGAGGCGCGCTTCCAGGAGCGCTTGAACCTGTGGATGCGGCAGGTGGTGCAGGCCGTGGTCGCCACTCAGCAGAGCGCCGTGGAGCTGCTGCCCCTGCAGCTGCAGGGGGGCGAGAACAAGTGCGGGGTCACGGTGCCGCCGCTGCCGTTCGGGCCCAACGAGAAGCGGTACTTCCGGGCCGACGGGGGCGCGGAGATGGCGACTGCAGAGCAGCTCGGGGACGGAGGCGAGACGGAGCCGCAGGAGCTGTGGTTCTACGAGCCCTAGGTAGACGACTACCACAGGGCGATTCGCCCCGATCTGCCGCTGCGCAACAACGGCGGCGAGATCGTGGACGACGTTGCGGCGTGGACAGAGCAGAGGGCCGCGGAGAACAAGGGGTACTGGCGGCGGCCGCTCTCCAGCAGCGCCTCCGGCATCTTCCCGAGGTACCGCGGCGGGGGCACCCTGGCGGAGTCTCTCCCGAGCGAGGAGTGGATTCGCGATGTGCCGCGACGTGCGCGAGCTCGTCATCGGCTGCGGCATCCACGTCTGCAGCCCCTCATGCTACAAGTACCATTCCGACAGGACGCGCGGCTCGCAGATCTGCCGCCACAACTTCTACAACCTGGTGAAATTGTGCACGTGGACCGAGGGTGAGGACTCCCGAGAGTGCCGACTCCGCACGCGCGGGAAGGCGCTGCGCGGCTGCATCGGCATATTCCGGGAGACGGACTACGGCATGGCCGGACGCATCGTCACCTTCCAGCTCCACCCCGGGGAGACCTCCACGAAGTACGCGGCACTCGTCGCGGCGCGGTGCAACGTGGACGTGCAGGACATGAGACGGGTGCTGCCCCCGCGCCTGTGGATGGATGCGTCGGAGCTGGAACCGCCGGCGAACGAGGAGGACCGCAAGAGCTACAACCATGGCCTCTACCCTCAGCGCTACGCCGACTTCTCGGTGGGCGCCCGGGAGGACTGGGGATGGTTCCAGCATCTGAACACCACGCCCGCGGAGAAGTGGGACCTCGTCGTACTCACCGACTTGCACGGGATCTACAGGACACTCGCGAACCGCGACAGCCCCGCCGTGGACAGTGGCGACGCTGCGCGCGCCGATCTCCAGCGCGACCTGGAGCGGCACGCGCTGGCCACCTTCGTGGACGCCCACAACACGAGCTACTACGTCAACTCGTACACCACGAAGGTGAAACCCAGCATGGACGACGTGCTTTGCAAGCTCCTTGACGGCGTGCGCCGCCTGAAGAGCCAGTGGGACGACAAGGAGGCGCAGGCCGCGGGCGACGCCGGCGACGAGGCCCAGTCGACAGCCGCAGGAAAGCGCAAGGAGGATTTCAAGCGCACGCTGCAGGTGCTGGCCCGCTTCGAGACCTGCTTCCGCAGGGCCTCCTGGAAGAGCGGCAGCGAGATGGTCTTCCCCATGCTCTTCGGGCACCTCTCCTTCATGTCGCACCGTTGCTGGAAGGTGTTCATGCGGAAATCCATCTACCTCGCCGCGGAGACCTGGCGCAGGCGGCACGGCCAGGCCGACACCGCGGAAAGCGCACCCGCCGCCTCGATCACGTACGCGGTCCCCGGCACTGGACAGCAGGTCGCGATGCCAGGGTGGCGCGAGGTGCAGCGCGAGGGCGAGACGGTGTACGTCAGCCCCGACGGCGAGGAGTTCGACACGATCGAGTACGCGCACCAGGCGTTCCAGATCGCGAGCGCCAGCGGCAGCTCGCTGCGCGACGTGACGAAGGCGCTGAACAAGTTGCGGGAAGGCGAGGCCGAAGAGGTGCCCGAGGCACCGGGGCCGACTGTCGAGGGCCTCGCGCAGGGCAAGTTCAGGGGCGCAGTGCTGAGCCAGCACGACGACTGGATGCACCGCGGAGACCACCCTATTGTCCGAGACATGAGCTTGTACGTCTACAGCATCTGGGTGTACCGCGTGGAACTGCCGCTGCATGCCCTTCCGGCCGGGGAGCTGGATCCCGAGGGCAGCGGGGGTCGCACCCTGCACGTCGACATCGCCTTCGACTCCTCCTACTCGGCGGCGCGGAACTGGACGCAGAGGCTGGCCGTCGAGCCGCGCATCCCGAAGGCCGAAGGCTTCCAGTTCGTGAGCGCGGAGTCGAACGTGGAGACGCACTACCTCATGAAGTCGGTGCTGCTCCGGCCAGTGCACCTGCCGGACGCCGACGGCCCCAACGACACGAAGGAGCTGCGCTACCTCCGCGCGTACGAGCACCTGTGCGCGGCGCCGGAGGGCGAGCCGGAGTGGCCGGCGCAGCCGGCGGGGGAGGGCGTGGCGGGCCCGTTCCAGCGCGGCTGGGAGTCGTTCGCCACCGCCCAGGAGCAACTGGCGAAGACGGCCCGGGCGAAGTGCCTCAGGAATGACGTCGGGTCGTGGGCGACGCCCAGCATCTGGAACACGGAGGAAGTCGAGTCCGCGCTGCGCGAGAAGCGCAGCGACCGCCGCGAGGACGTGCAGCCTCCGTGCCAGTGCGCCCAGTGCGCGGAGCTGGGCAACTGGCTGGGCAGCATGCTGACGGTGCAGGAGTACCTGGCCCTGGAGACCACGAAGACCGCGGCCAACTTCGACGGCATCTCCAAGGCGAAGGCTTCGAAGCCGAAGAGGCCGCAGAAGGACGACGTGCAGGTCGCGGAGGCCCCCGTGTTCCGGGAGGGCGCCGAGGATTCGGGGGCGGGCGCCGCGCAGGTGGAGGCCCAGGGCATCCGCGCTCAGGACGGCTTCGCGAAGCTGGGCGCCAACGTTGTCCTGGAGCACCACTTCGACCCCGAGACGCTCGGGCAGATCTTGCGCTTCGACACCGCCGAGCGCACGCAGGCATTCGTGAAGGAGCTCAAGAAGGCCGCCACGATGATGGAGAACGGCGCGCTACCCGGGCCGACTGACGCCGACGCGCCGCGGCGTGCTGCCCGCGCCCTGAAGGAAGACGTCCTCGCTCCGTTCAGGGCTTTGCGCGACCTCGACGCAGAAGAGCTGAAGGACCTGGTGGAGACCCAGCGAAAGAGGTTCGCCAAGGGGGGCACGAAGGACGCGGACGTGCCCGCGGACGACGCCCCCGAGCCGGACGACGTCGGGGCAGCGGGTGCTGGCGCGATGCCGGCCGAGGCGGCGCAGGCGCGGTGGGAGCCGTCGGAGGAGTTGCAGCGGCCCAGCGACCTCGTCAAGCGCCTCGTCAAAAAGTTCGAGGACGGCGTGGTCAACCCGAGCACGGGGAAGCAGGAGCGCCGCCCTCTGAAGCCCGACCAGGCCCTGTTCGTCACGGCGTTCGCGAACGCCTGCAACGTGGCGTGGGACGAGGAGCAGAAGATCGAGGACGGCAGCATGGCCAAGCACGCGAAGCGGAAGACGTTCCAGTTCCTGCTCCTCGGCCAGGGCGGCAGCGGGAAGACAGCCATGGTGCAGGAGATCGTGCTGCCGGCCATGGACGCGCTGTTCCCTGTGGAAACGGGCAAGGCGAAGTCCACGCTGATAGTCTGCGCGAAGTGGTCCCAGGCCGCGAACATCTCCACGGACGCTCACAAGGCCGTCAGTTGCCACCGGGCGTGAGTCATCGGAGTGCAGTCCTTCAGGAACAAGGACATACCCGCGGGGGGCAGGCTGAAAGCGCTGCAGGACACGTGGGAGGCGGTCTGGTGCTTGATCCTGGAGGAGGTGAGCATGATCTCGCCCGACCTGTACAACATGCTGGCGTTCCGGTCCTACCTGGGACGCAAGGCCGAGTGGGGCGCGGAGGAGCGGGAGTACGACCAGGTCGGCGGCGCCTTCGGACGGATGCCCATCGTGATCCACCTGGGGGACTTCCTGCAGCTGAAGCCGACGGGAGGCAAGGTGTCGCTCATCTCCAGCTTCGAGGAGCTGGCGGCGGCGGGCATCAACCTCGCTCCAGAGTACCAGGCAGTGATGAAGCTCTTCTGCAACACGCCGCTGTGCTTCGAGCTCCAGGCGTCCAACCGCTTCAAGGACCCGAAACTCAGGGACCTCATGGCGTTCCTGCGCAAGCCGGGGAAGCAGGTCCCTCCGGCCATCCGGGCCACGTGGAACGCCATGCAGCTGAAACCCGATGATCGCCGGCTCCGGGAGGAGAGGTTCCAGAACGGCCACATGATCGGGTCCTACTGGGACACCGTGGCGCGCTGGATGAACATGCGTGCTCAGCGGGACGCGGACGTCCTGAAGAAGCCCCTGTTCCTCGTGCAGGCCGCCGACAGGTCTGCACCGACGATGAGCGTCAAGGACGCCGCCAAGATGATGAACTGTGCCAACCCGAAGAATACCGGTGGCATGCACGGACTGCTCCCGGCGCACGTGGGCATGCGGATCCGGCTCCTGGAGGCGCTCGACCTCAAGAACGGCCTCGTCAAGGACGCCGAGGGGCAGATCGTGCACATCGTCGTGGACCCTCGGGATCGGGGCGACGTCGAGAGAGCAGAGAGAGACGGGGAGAAGAGAATCTACCTGAAGCGCTTGCCGCTGGGGTTCTGGGTGCGCATGGAGAAGTACGCGAGCGCGCCCTTCGTGGACGACCTTAAGCGCCACGACGACAGCCTCGCGAGGGACCTCGCGGGCCCGCTGGTGTTCATCGAGCCCCGCACGTCGGAGGCGTTCACCTTCCGCACCTCCAAGGTCACCCGGACGGGCTTCCCGTTCTCGCACGGCAGGGTCATCACCACGGTGGCGTGCCAGGGGCGCACCATGCGAGAAGGCGACGGGGCGGGGGAACGGCGCTCCGGGGACAGCGAGACCTCCGGGGCGCGAGCAGTCCGCAGCCAGACCTCGGTCCTGTGGACTCTCGCCGCCCTGGGCCGTCGGCTGCCGGGCGCACCGCTCCCTCGGCCGACGTCGCCCAGGCGTGATCCTGGACTGCGGCCGCCACGAGGTCGGGAACGGCAAGAAGGAGGACGACGACTGGTGGCTGGAGCTCTACGTGCTGCTCTCGCGCGCCACGCGACACGAGGACCTCCTGCTCATGCGGGCGCCGCGCATCGAGTTCTTCCTGGCCGGGCCGCCGGCGGGCTTGCGGAAGCAGCTGGAGCAGTTTGCGGCGCGCACGAAGCGGCGCAGGAGGGAGGCCACGGCCCTCGCCAAGGACCTCGGCTTCACTGAGTTTATCCGCGAGGCCTGACCTGAGGAGCGGCCCGCCCCAGCCGCTTCTTCTCTTGGCTGTCCGGCTGTTTGGCCTGGCGCCGCCGACGCTCCGCGCGCGTCGCTGGGGCCCTCTCGGGGCGATCAGCGCGCGTCGCCCGAACTCCGCGCTGCGCTCTGTCCAGCGCCTCGCTCGCCCGTCGTCGCTCCGCCCGGCGGCCAGAGCCATGCGCGCTATGAATTAGCCAGCAAGCAATCTCTGTTCCGCTCAGCGGACGAAACGCGCGCGTCACTGCGACCCCCTCGGGGCGACCTGTGCGAGTCGCGAGGGCTCCGCATGGCGCTGCGCCCGCAGCCTTGGACTTTGGAGTGCGCGGGCAAAGGACATGGAAAAAGGAGGAGAGGAAGCGGGCGCGATCCTCGCGTGGGGCGCGCCGACATGGGCGTCGCGGCGCGCGGGCGCTGCCGTCGAGGTTCCCAGGGAAGCCCCCCTGCAGAGGCTACGCCGCACAATTCGGCACACCTGCATACGGTTCGTGGCCCCATAGGGAGCGCCACCGAAGAAGATATCCAAAATTGCGGTACTCACAACTGCATATGGTTGGGTCCTTCGCCAGGCAAATATGGTTTTGTTTTTGTACCAGGGATGGTGGGGGGGGGTGCCCTCATGGTTCCTGGTTGACTACAAGTCGCCTGGGGGAGGTGGTGTTTATTAATAGGGAACAGTGATAAACCCCCTCCCCGAAGGGGAAGAAAGGGGGCTGGAAGAGGAGCCGCCCTAAACCACCTACGCCCAGAGGACTGGTGGGATCACGATCCCCCCCACCAAGAGGCAAACCTGTATCCAAAACCGTATGTAGTAAAATCGTTGATGTTGGCCTTCTCTTCGAGGCCAACAAGAACCTCTGACACCTCGCGGAACGCCCATTCCAAACCCATGGGGTAAGGGGGTAGGGGACACCCTCCTAGATAGCAAGCCGTCTAGTTCAATCCCACCCGCCCTCCCAACACAAAAGTACCACTCGAGCCTGAGCATCTTCAACGGTCGCTTTTGAATGGGCAGCTATAGGGAACCAAAACCGACCCCATGTGCGTGACGCTGGGACGAGGTGCGCCACCCGTGCCAGGCGCGCCACGCGCGCCAGGCATCCCTGAGGCAAAAGCGTGCCAGGCATGCCTGGTGCGCCAGATGCGCCACGTGATCCGCGTGCGCCAGGTGTGCCACATACTCCAGCCGCGCCAGGTGCATCACATTCGGGGCACGTGCAGAGTGTGTCAGGAGTGCCTGCGCACGTGACAGCACACATCGGGAAACATGCCGACCCCCACCATCCTTCTCGAAAACCAATGCCCATCATTGTGTCTGGTGGGCCTGCGCACAGCAGGCCATACGCCACCACCCCAACCGTCCCTGTCCAAAACTACTTGACAGTGATCGCGGGGTGGCCGTGTACGATCCAGATTTAGCCGCGATATGCATTTTGTATTGATTGTTTCAGGGATGATAGCCCTGCGCACAGCATGCAATATGCTGACACCCCCGCCGTCCCTGTCAAAAACAATACAACATGTTCGCGGGCCTCACGGACATGACTCAAGACTTTGCCCCAAAGTGTACTATGTCTTGTTTTTCACAGTGATGGTGGGGGGGCCGCGTCGGGTTGGCCGCGCATGCTCCAAATGTGGAGGCAGAGTGTGTGTTCGTAGTTTTTTACAGGGACGGTTGGTGGGGGCTGAGCACGGTGTCCTCAGTGTTCCTGGTTGGCTGCCGGTCGCTTGGGGCAGGGGGTGTAGGTATCTGATTAGGGAACAATGATGAAACCCTCCCCGAAGAGAAAGAGGGAAGATGGAAATGGAAACCGGCTGAACCACTCACGCCCTCAAGGGCTGGTGGGATTTGTTGCGCTTGCGGGCTCTCGGGAGGTAGGTCTAGTCTTACGAGGGTTTTTGGGGTCCGCTGGTCTTGTTCTTGTCCTCGGGCGTACCCTGTGACACAGTTAGGGGTGACGGGGGACATTCCCTTTCCCTGGGTCGGTGACCTTGCGGGGCCCAATGTGGCCTCCTGAGGTCTCCGACCTGAGGTATCCACAGCTTGCGTCGGTGACGTTCTGGGGCCCCCACACAGCCTCCTGAGGTCGCTGACAGGAGGTTCCCGCAATTTG